ATTACTAGAAAATCTTGCATTACAATAAGAACACTTAAAGGGACGCTCACCAGTGTGAACCAATTTATGCTTTTTGAATACACTACTAATGGCAAACGCAGCTCCACAGACTTTGCAAACAAAGGGCTTTTCCCCTGTATGAACACGCATATGAACTTTCAGATTACCTGCTTGAGAAAAAAATAAGCCACACTCCTGGCACTTATAAGGCTTTTCTCCTGAATGTGTTCTCTTATGCGCTTTCAAATGACCACTATGAGCAAAGGAGGTGTTGCATTCTCCACACTTATATGGTTTTTCCCCAGTGTGAGTTCTCATGTGTTTCTTCAAAGAATCCTGCACGTAAAATGATAGTCCACATTCTTTACATACATAGGGTTTATGCCCTGAATGCAACTTTAAATGTCTCCTTAGGTTGTTCTTCTGACGAAAAACGGAATCACAGTGATCACATTTATAACTCTTGTTCACTTGGCTTGTGGTTTCCTTATTGCTTGACTCTGAAGCATCTTTCAGATCTGTTCTGCAAACAGTTTTTTGCTCCATATTTGGAAGGCTCCCACCTGCAATCCAAAAATAAGAATAAACTCAATCAGAACTACTGGAAATCTTTTTTTTTACAACAATTATAAACATGCTTATTTTTCTATGTAAATTATAATATGGTTGAGAAGACAAACACATGCCTTTTCATCATTCTCATATTTAGTATCAAATTCATTTATCAAGTATTCATGATTATTGATGGTGGAAAATTCCTTCAGCTTTGGTTGGTTAAGGACATAATGAACAAATGAAATGAAAAATAAAAAGCAAAATTGTAGTCACTGCAACAGTACAGGTTTTCTCACTCTGTGGCCAACTTAATCTATAAAATAAAGAAGAAAAAGAAGAAGAAAAAAAGTTCCTCACATGCTGTTTCTGAAGGGTTCCTATCATTGGTAATATGCTGGTCTCCACTGTTCTCCAAAGACTGCGGAAACTGCATGGTACATAAAGAATAATTATATTAAATAAAGTGACAATAAAACTACTGTGAAAGGATTAAAGAAGGCTGAATCATCATTTTTTTTTTTTAACAAAAAATATGAAACACATTTTCCTTTCCAATTGAATGAAAGCAATATTAAAAAAAAAGTATTATTCAAAATCCAAATGATTATACAAAATACAGTCAATAAAGAGAACATTACCCTTTCTTCCATTATCTTCCCATGGTCCCTCTGTTTTGTTTCCTCCAGTTCCACACACTTCCTCTTGCTGTCTCCACTATGGCTGCAGTCTCCGTAAATCACCTCATCCATTACTGTAGTTCCTAGGAATAGAGATGCTATATTTCATTATCAATAATAATAATAATAATAATAATAATAACTATAATAATAATAAAATAAACAGTAATGTGTGTGTGTCTGTTGAAAAAATTATGTAACTGGAATATAGAGTTAATATGGTCATTATAATACAACCATTCAAATATCTGCACAGCTCTTCTGCAGTATGTGACAAAATTCCAGCAACAACACTTGCTATGAATTTATGAATCATGATAATAAAGTAACATAAAAATGCAACATATGACACAGAAATCCTTATTACTGTTAACTTTGATAAAATATACACAGATATTTTCAAGGTAACTTTTAGTTATTTTAATTTGTGAAAATATCAGGTTAATCTTTACAGTATGGACACACTAAGCTAGGGAATACTGTACTCTAATTTTCTTGTAGAGCACTAAAGTTTACAAGAAATAATTTGCAGACATGAATAGTAACACTACAAATAAAAGAAAAAGATCATGGAAAGTGCCACTTACAGCCTAAGTCCAATCATTGCTACCGAGATTCAGCTCTATCTTGTCATGCATATTGTGAAAAAAACAACTTTTGCTAGGGAATGTAAGGGGGGAGAAACCTTGCAATCCTCCCTTTCGGCAGTTGCTGAGTCACAGCATCTTTGATTGTTGAATAAATTTTGAGACAGAGATTGGGAATGTCTCTGGCAAGTGTGTCCATATTGCAGAGAATTACTAAATATTCTAAAAAAAATAGTGTCATAACTGTACCGGATATAGTAATATACTAAAATAGACCTTTTCAAAAAACAAAACTATTTATATAAAAAAAATATGCACTTAATGAAGGTAAGCCTACAATAGGTTATCAAAATTACTCTGAAATGATATTAAGTAATCGCCATGGCCTCCATGCCTTCAGCAGTCCAGCAAAATTAAAATAAAAGCATGGCATGTATTCTGGAAGCGATTTATGATCACCCTGATAAATAAGGAGGTACTTTATAGTCTATCTTGACATAGATGCATAATAAAGGATTATTGGGCTTTCCTTGAGTGCCAAAGGCATGGACAACATAGTAGTGCTTGGTCTTCCTTGCTGTGGTCAAGATTCAAGAATTACCCTTTTTTTGTCCTTGCTTGAGTGCAAAGGCTAAGGTCATGACATCACTAGGCTTAGTAAGCACAAGCATAGATTCTTGGCAAGCACTGTAGACCTTCCATTAACTTCTGCAAATTCTATAAACTGTTCATCTTAATCAACATGTATTTCCATATCTAAAAATATACTTTAACACTGTCTATAACTCATAGAGAATGGTTAATGGTTAAAACAATTAAATATGCTGACATCAAAGGTCATTTAGAACTATGGTGAAGAGGCGAAAAGGTTAAAAAGAAAGCGTTAGCATAAGAGGAAGAAGAGAAAGAAGAGGAAAGGGGGAGAAAAGACCCCCACGAGCAAGGGAATTGGGATGTGAAGGATTATTACGGGTAATATGCAACAAATACATATGATTTACGTATATTCTAACAAATTCATGAAGAAAATAATAAGTATATACATTAACCTAAGCCAAACGAATCAACTACCTACATTTCTAAGTTTAAGGTGATCTCCAACTTGAATTAACCGAGTGAAAAATAAATTACAAGTTACTATTTAATTCCTTTTCCCTCTCCTACACAGCCGTCATTGTAATTTACGGTTTATTGACACAAATGCCATTAATTCCCGTTTCTCTTCAGTTTTGATATGGAGAACTAGAAGTAGATCGGTTGTGAAACTTTTTGATGGTTTGAGAGGCTCAGAACTCGCTACAAATAAAAGAAAGGTTTAAGTAAAGGACATACTTATTTAACAACACGAGAATTTAAGTATTTTACAAGTTATTACATTTACTATTTTCCATTTATATTGCGAAAGTCCTGCGTACATCAATTCACCATTTTTGGGTTGGTTATGATTTTTTTTTTTTTTTTAAATAATACAGACTATGAACGTTCTTTGATAGTTACACAGTTCAGTTTATTAAAAAAAAAAAAAAATGTTACGAAATATGGTCAATGATTATATGCATTATGGTTATCGTTATTACAAAACAAGCAAACACCAACTATTGCGTACCTGAGACTCACCTTGGCTCTGATTTGCACGCCTGATGGGTTAATAAATCCATTTAAAGGAAAATAACATCTTTTTATTTACACATTCGTCAAATTATTATAATAAAGGTGAACAGTAAAGTAACACACAAAACAAATGAAGGTGAATAAACTATTGTGAGTGAAATAACGAGTTTAATTTTTAAATGTCAACTCTAGTATTACAGTGCTTGTTATAGTCATCCCTTGGCACATATTACTATAATTTCAATATAAATGTGTTAAACATATTTATAATAACACTATCAAACAACGTATATATTATCAAACATATAAACTCTAACCTACTAAAGATAGGTAAAATGATACACGCAGTAGTTTGTAATATAAATTTGGAGTAATACGGTTTTCAATATATTCATTTCCTGTCCATAATATTTTACATAGCCCAGACCCTTCCCCCAGACGGAGCAGTAATAAACTAAAAGCCTTATGCCCTGGTCTTCCGAGTCTCCCGCCACGCTCGGCATTATTGCTTCTGAGTTTCTAATGTAAACCATGACCACTTTAAAATTTAACACGGCGCTGAATAATGGAACCCACTCTCAATGACAAACGTGAACGACGAGTTTTTGCTATCTATCCAGAGAATGTAAGGTATTTGGCAACCAAATGCGTGAATGAAAATCAATCGCTTTCTAACGTTAACCCCTTCATCATCAAGAAGGTCCTTGATGGTCAAATGGACGGCGATTTTGATTCTGTCCGAAATTTGTGAGATGGTTGCCTCCTTGTAAAAGTGCAATTCAACGCCCTGGTTCATGAATTAATTAAAATGACGCAGATTCATGATGTGAAAGTAAAAGTAACAACCCTAGCTGACACAATTACTAGTAAAGGAATGATCTTTCACAGGGATTTGAAGACAATGGAGGAGAGTGAAATTCTTGAAGATATGAAGGACCAAAGCGTAGTGGACGTGAACTGCAGAAAGACGGGATTGTGCAAACGAAAACTGTATTGTGTTTTCTTTGCTTCAAGTAAAATTCCTGAGTATATATCACAGATGGATATGAACGTGTCTAAGTGCGACCTTATATACAAAAACGTATGCGCTGTAATAGATGCCAAAATTTGGAAAGATTACGATGCAGTGATAAAGAGTAAATTTACTTATAGTAAATGTGCTGGAGCTCATAACAGTACTGATGTACTGAGAACTATTTCTAGTGTGCCAAGACTTTTCCAAACTCGTGGCACTTCGCCCGCATCATTCTCATACTGAAAGGAGGGGAAATCCCAGATCCGCCATCTCCCACCGTCCAATTGAATTGACAATTTGCTTAGGCAAGGTCATGGACTCCACGACCTCATCGAGAAAGTCGGTATAGATCTCTGTATCATCGATACCCTGGTTCAATGAAATATAGTGTCATGGGAAGCGCCCAATATTTCCATCATGGAAAGCTGCCTACCATCAACTAAGGCCATGGCGCCGGAGGTGGAGGTTCGCCAGAGGTTAAGAGAGATCCTTATTAAACGCATTTATTTTTTCATACATATACACCGACGGCTCTAAGACAAATGAGTGTGTGGCTTCAGGTGTATAGCCGACTGAGATACATTGATTTTTATTGCTGCACTTCCTGCAGTTAATATAGCCTTAGATTTTGCACTACTGACGACCCACGACAGAATAGTACTTTTTCTGATTCGTCGAGTTCACTTAAAGCCATCAAATCATTAGAAACCATTAAAATGAACTGCTGGTCAATAAATCAGTCAAGCTGATATGGGTACCAGGCCATTCTGGTTCCCATGGCAATGAACAGGCTGACAAATTAGCTGGTAATCTGGTGCTGGATCTGAGTGAGTGGACCAACCTGCAACTGACAAAATACAAAACCGTGGGAAACAGCCCACAGTAAAGTAAAAAGGGGGCAAGTGGTGTTTGCCCGTCTTAGGGTCAGTGCCACTAAAATGACCCCATTCCTTATATAGAATAGAATTTCCCTCCACAGTGCCAAATTTACAACACCAGCCAAATCATCACCCACATCCTCATAATATGTCAAAAATCATCAACAAACGGCAAAAAACTATTTCCATTTCAAATAAAAAATTTACATCAAATCTGTTATCAAATGATGAGAAAATAATACATTAAGTAATCACTTTTCTAAAGGAGACAGAACTTTAAAACCTTATCCAGACTGATATAATGAATAGAATCCATTCCCTAACATATATATATATATATATATATATATATATATATATATATATATATATATATATACATATATGTATGAATATATATAGATACACATACATATATATATATATATACATATATATATATATATATATATATATATATATATATATTTTTTTTTTTTTTTTTTTTTTTTTATTTTTTTTTTTTTTTTATTTTTTTTTTTTTTCTTTCTTTCTTTCTTTCTTTTTACTGTTAGGCTGATATTAACACTAACAACAACCTTCGTATTACATTACTCTCGTTATTTAATCAAAGATTATTTCAGGTAGATTTAATACTATTTTTGATAATTGAAACTTTAGATCAGTATGGCAAATTCTGCCACAATATTCATCACTGATCATGGAAAACCTTAAGATTAGTTAAATTTATTATTTTTAACTTAGGTCATCATTATTAACATACTCCTTCATATAAATAATTATCATTCAAGACACAATTGGGTTCTTTTGATAGATATTGTATTTCTCGTGTCAATGTACGTCAAATTATTTCACTGGTGTAAGTGTAGTTTCTTTTTGTTTCGTCTACCACTGTGCTTATCCCACCTGGTTCCCTTTTTTGTTCACAATCTTATAATGTAGGAATGACAAAATGGGATTATATGAAACAGAAAAGAACTTACACATTTATTTCATAAAAATACCTATAAATGTACTTACTTCGTATCAAAATAACAACCAAGATCCCCACAAGTACTGAAACCCTAACAACTACAACGACAACCTTAGGTTCTTCTACCGTCATACTTAATTATGGGTTACATTTTATAAACTAATGCATTAAATGTAGCATAACTAGTATCACTGCTTTTGGCCGTTGTCATTACTGTTTTTATCATTATTGAAAGTATTTACATAATCATTATGTTATCATTACTATTAATATTATCATTACTATTAATATTATCATTATCATTATTGTCATTTATTATTATTATTATTATTATTATTTATTTTTTATTTTTTTTATTTTATTATTATTATTACTATTATTATTATTATTATTATTATTATTATTATTATTATTATTATTACTGCTACTATCATTATCGTTGTCATGATTATCGTTATTGTCATAATTGTTATCATCATCAAGATTATTATCGTTATTACTATTATTATCATTAAAACTGTTACTATTACTATCATTATCATTAACATTAAAATTATCATTACTATCATTATTATTGTCATATATCATTAAAATTGTTATTATTAATATCATTATCATTAGTTTTAATATGTATTGTTTGTCGTAATTATTCATTTTTTGTATATATGAGTATCATCATCATCATCATCACCATCATTATTATTCATAACATTATTGTTACCATTGGCATTAGTATTATGAATAAAAGTATACAAGCCCGGTTTAATTGAATGATCTTTTCTAAAAGTGCCGATGATGTATATCCAAATTAATTTGATATATTCTTGCTACACTTAGTAGACTATCTAATTTTCATTTATTATTCTTATATAATAACTGTATTTTTAAAATTATTTTCGCTAATAAATATATCCATATACTCTCAGATTTATAAATTTATTTCAGGTAGGTAGATCAGTTCAGACACAGCTCGGCCCAAGTTGTTTACATTTGAGGGCCGCGTAATCAACATCATGTTTTACCATGTGAATATTATTGTTTTTTTTTAGTTACAGTTCTCTTGATATTCTTGCAAAGGCTAAGATTTGTTTCTGGGATAACGCTGTAACTTGGTCATGGTGTGGTAGAAAGTTTTGAGATTATAGTTGAGTGTTTATAGGTTTATTTTAAGAGATTGTTGACAGCACTCAGGGGCTTTAATTTTTTTTTTAGGCTTGGGCATTGGTGTATTGTATGAAATGTAGTTTCAGGTAGATTCTTGGTAGATTTACAGTGCTTGACTAATTATTTTAATCAATTATAGATATGACTTCTAAGCATATATCATTAGGCTGTGGCTACATTAATGGTTTCATGATTCTGTGTCTGTCGACTATTTGCACAGTGTAGAATTCTTAAAATTACAGTACTGACTCCCCTCCAGGGGGGCTGTTGCCCCCAACCCCTGCCTAGGAAATTAAAGAATCCTTCACTTAATAATGGCAGGAGAGAGCATTGGACAAACTTGACATTGGGCGCTCCTGTACATTGGATGTTTGCTCTGCCCTGCTGTGGGTAAAGCGAGTATTCCATACTGTACGCGCAAGTCCAGAACTCCCGTAAATCTGGTCAATAGACATCGCTTTACGTTACCATAAATTTAGTCACTTCGATTTCATTAATATTTGATGTATGATAGTAAGAATGAACTCTTTAGTCTATCTGTCGCAGACCATTACAGATCGTAAATATTCAGTCAATCTTTACATTACTAAGCTAAGCTAGGACAAATTGAAGATAATATTTTTGTAAAGGACAAAAGGTTGTAGTCATTGATACAAGAAATAATGTGTAGACACCACAAATAAAGGTTAAAGATCGCAGAAAGCGCTGCACGCAGTCTAAGTCCACCCAGTGCTCTTGAGTCTCAACTTTATTTTGCTGTGCATATCGAGGTGAAGACAATGTTTGCTGGTGGGGTATTGGTGGGGCAGAGCCCCCTGTCAACTCTTCCTCAGGCAGTGCCCGAAGGGTACGCCCAGTCACGGTAATTTAGATTTGTAAATAAAGTTTGTGACATGGAGTTGGGAACTTAGTCACTGGTGAGTAACCCAATGCCACTGGTGATGGTATGTACATGCTATGTTCACTGTTAGTTTAATTAATTGTTTTTACACAATTACAATATTAAGCCACAAAGAGCCAATTATGACTACTACCTGTCTATCATTTTCCTTGATTTTCAAAGATATTTCTTGTATCTTATATTGCTGTAAGTATTGTCAATAACACTATGTTAATTATAATCTCCATAAGAAAAATAACAGCATCGATATCAATAGAATTAGTAAAAAAAAAATGTTTTTCCCACAAAGTCAAAGAAAGTTAAATCAGATGAGGTCACAAAATCACTAATTGACTCCTTTATGGCTAAGCCATCTATGTGCAGAGACATTTCACAAAAGATTACTCTATTGAACACACAAGGTGGTTTAAGTAATTTTACAGTTTTCAACAGATGCAGCATAAATGAAGAATACTTTAGAACTCATCAATCTACTGATTCCATATACTTCTTTTCCTTTTGTTAATAGTGTTATTAACAATATTTTTTAAATGATGTGTACCATAAAAATTGATAAAAGTTTACTAGATATGATACTAACAGTACTGACACACTTATGCATTAGCTGTGTAGGGTTGCTGTAAGTGTAGGGTGTTATTTGACAATAAAATGGCCAAGAGTATGACAGAAACTTAGGTATGAAGGACAGCATGCTAAATATCTGTGCCATTATTAAAAATATCTAAATTACCCTAGATACAGCAGGTAATTAATTATCTTGGCTTCCAGTGAATTCATAACAACTGTGCTAATCATAATAGAGTTTTTTACATTTTTTTCTTTTTGATTTCAGATCTCGCTGGAGCATGAGATCCTGTTACATCCCAGGTACTTTGGTCCACAGCTGATGGATACTGTACGACAGATGCTTTTCACAGAAGTAGAAGGCACATGTACAGGAAAGTATGTAAAAACTGTTTATTCTTTTCTTGGATTTTTTAGACAAAGAGAATTGGTTGCTAATTTCTGGTATCAGTCCATTGTAAGAAGTATTAACATTTTTTGTTTTACTTTAGGAATTTTTGATGAAAAGAAATTGATATCTGAAAGCCCTATATCACTAGCATTTTTTCCACCAAGTTAGTGTTCACTTATGAACTTTCCACATGCAACTGGTCTTGCCCCATCACACTAGCAGAGTACCACTGCTACCAAGTAGCAAAAATAACACCCATGTAAAATAAACAATCCAAGTGAGGTCCCATGAATCACGTGTGTTCTCGTATGTATCACATGTTTGAAAAAAAATATGCAGTAAGTCCCCTACTTACAAACATTCTACTTACGAACATTCCATACATACAAACAAATTTTAAAAAGTACTTAAGTCCAAAAAATCATTTGAGAGATGCTAGCAAACTTCAAATTTCCCCGGCATGGCAGCTCACGAGCCGCGCTAACTCAGCTGTGTGCATCACTTGCCTCAGTCGCCTGCCCTCCCGCCATAAACACGAAAGCATCTGTTCACTGTGTTCTCGTGTACTGCCAATTTTTGTGCCATAATTCGCTTTACCTGTGCATCTATCCATCAAAAATACTTATTGGGATTTATGTACAGGTATTCTTAATGTAAACAAAACTTTAAAACAATATGAAAAAAGGCAATGGAGACCCGACTTTGGATATACGAACAAATGGAGTTACAAACAGCCTCTCGGTCCCCATTATGTTCGTAAGTTGGAGACTTTCTGTATATAGAATTAGTCTAGAATATTAGCTTGAGTTTATATAAACTTATTTTATTTTATTTATCAGCAAAACATTGTAGTAGTAAAGATCCTCCATAGCACAAGATCAAGATGGAAATCAGTCATACAAAAACTGCTGCTACTTTCCTTGTCTGGGAGGTATTCCACATGCAGTTGCATCCTGTGGAAAGCATCAAATTCATGTGTAAACAGAAAATGATGGTGTATGTACTAGTGTGACAGGGCCTTAACTTACAGCATCAGTAAGATGTTTGTAAGATTTTATTTTATCATCAAAACTTTATTATGGAAAGAAATTGGTATCAACCTTGCAATATCAGTCTATACATTCTTGCTACCCATACATATATTTTTAATTACAGGTACGGTTTTGTGATTGCTGTCACAACAATTGATCACATTGGCTCTGGCATGATTCAGCCTGGGCGTGGCTTTGTTCTGTATCCTATCAAAGTGAGTTTCATGTCTGAATACCTGATAAGGCCAATTGAGTAAAATGTTGAGGTTCTTGTAGCCTATATATATATGCATACACATACATGTGTATATTAGTACTTTGAGATTCTGATAATATAATGATTTTACTTGTTTTAATTGATTTTAAGGCAGATTCATGAAAAAAAATATTAGTTACAAATTTACTGATAATGCTTAAAAAAAAGAAAGAAATAAAACTTTATCATGTGACTTTTTTTTTTAAGGCCATAATTTCCTTGCAGATGATTTTGAGTGCCTGAACATTGGCAGTTAGTTATTATATATATGTATTTTTTATGTTTCAGTACAAGGCTATTGTGTTCCGTCCATTCAAAGGAGAAGTTCTTGATGCAGTTGTGACACAGATCAACAAGATTGGTCTTTTCTGTGAAATTGGACCCATGCAGTGCTTCATATCCAGACATGTAAGGGGAATTTTTTAATCAGTTATTATTTTCTATCATCATTTTGGTAATGTGATTATGCTCTTCATTAATAATAAATGATTAAGGTCCCTAAACAAGAAGAGTAAATTATTGTGTGTAGTCATGACAGCATAATACAAATCTGTATGGTATATAAAGATGAATGTAATACTATCATTATATGCTCTCCTTTTTCAGTCAATTCCACAAGATTTAGAGTTTGATCCGAACTCTAATCCCCCATGTTATAAAAGCAGAGATGAGGTATGTCATTTGAGACTTTTTCTTCCTTTCTTTCTTTTTCTTTATGTAGTTTTGAAACAAATTATGTGTATGAAATAATTATTCCCTATAACAGGAACTTTTGTCATTATGATTTTAATTTTCTTTTTTTAGGAAGTTGTTATCCAACAAGATGATGAAATAAGAGTGAAGATTGTTGGTACCAGAGTAGATGCCACAGATATTGTAAGTTCAGCATTGTTTTATTTAGATGACAGTATATTTTGCCAGTATCAAAGATACTTTCTTGGTTTTGCATATATTATGTACTGCGTGTGTTTTGATAATATCTTATTAATTTTGTTAATGAGTCTGTATGTGAATGAAATCAATTAAAGTTTTATGTTGCCAAAGAACAGTTTCACTTTTTGTAATGAATTTTTGATATCTGAATATTGTTTTATTCTACTTGCAGTTTGCAATTGGAACCCTCATGGATGATTACCTGGGTAAGTATAACCACAAGTACACTATTACACAGACACATTCACTATTGTGTATGCTTGCAGTAACATTCACATACTTGCTAACACACAAATATGTCAATGTACATTTGCATGTTAATGCATACACTCAATAACATGTGAACATGCACAGTCACTTGAACAGATATACATGTTTAGATATATGAGTAAAACATGAATCTAAGTTTTTAATGAAATATGTGTATCTAGTAAGAAATTCATGCCTGAAGTATTATATTTTGTGCTTATGATGATGCACAGCACTAGCAGTGATGTTGAATTTAATTTTTATTTTCAGGTCTTACCAGCTAGTGGCAGCTTGCGAAGAGAAAAGTTATTTTGGTTGTCCGCTTATTTTGTCTTTGAATAAGAAAAGAGTATTTGAATTCAGTGACAGGTTTAAAACCAATTTTACATGATGGTCATAGTTTCACTGATAATGTATGATCGCACATCTCTTATATGTACATGCAGTGTACCTGATACTATTTTATTACTTCATTAATTATATGTATTTTTTTTGTTTTGTTTTGTTTATTATAGATAATCAGTGATGATCGTTATATCATGTATGAATTCGAAAGAAAGGAGTAAGTAACTATTGATTATATTCATATATGGGGTAAAATTTCAGGTGAAATAACCCATGGTATAGTTTTGTATCATTGTTAGTCTTCTTATTTCAACTGACTACTTATTTGGAAAATAAAACTGCAGAAAGAGTATATTGAGAGTCTTTTATT